AGCATGGATCCCTAGTGGTTCACTGAACACAACCTGGTTACTATGATTTTGCCAAGAATCCCAGAAAAGATTACTTTTATTTGATCCTACAAGCCAATTCTTGTATTCTGTCAGGAAAAATGTATGCTCAGAATTACCTAATGCAAAATTTTTACGCTTTCATTGTAAAAGAGGTTTTCACTCATTTTTGTAAATTTTAAATAACTAAACTGCTTCATCCTATATCATTGTTATGAAAAAAAGGCAGCTTCTGCTCAACACATGCTCCAAACCAGCAACCAACATCAGAGAAATCCACCTCCACTGAACAAACCTTTCCATCTCTATACACAATCCTTTATTTTCATTTATATATCTCAGGTAAAAGCTGTCAATATCTCAGCAGCATTTTCTGAAACTTTAAATCCTTGAGGCTACCCTGTTGCCTGAAGGATCTCCTGGGTTGGTATCACATGACACCAATGATTGTTAACACAACTATTTGTCAAAGCCCCCAAAACATGTTTGCCTGTACACCTTGCCTAATGTAGCTAAGGTTGCCAATTTTAATTCTGATTTCAAGAATTTGGGGTCTAGAATTAGTGCCAGAAATGCAGGTGGTGGATTTTAACAGGAGCTGAGCTAGCAACAAAAGGGTTTTGTTGCTTCCCTGGGAGCTGCTGCTGACTGATACAGCACATTGTGTTGACACTTGCATTCTGGTGCAGGTTAAGGAGCAAGGCAAGGAACTGATACAGAAGAATTACCCTGTCAGCCAGCCAGCCAGCCTGCTCATCCACCCACCCGCCTACTACAGCTTCATGGGCTTCAGCAAAGCTAGTCACTGAGGAGGAAGGTCACTCACATACCCATAATCCTCCATACTGGGGCCGTGCTCAACAAGTTTATATGCTTGCTCCGATTACAAGGTGTGAACATGCTGCTCCTGATTCCCTTGCCCTGCAAATGCGGGTAAGCAGCCCAAATATTCTGGAAAATAACAGGCATGCCTGTTTCCCTTCAACTCCAACTGGTTCACAAATCTATATATAGTTTAAATATTCCTCCAGAAGTGGATGAATTAAATGTCTGGTAGGTGACAGCAATTCCTCTTTCCTTTCTGCTTGCAAGGGGGTGGATGAAAGGAGAATCAATTCTGTTTCCTACACATACTAGATCAGATGTGGGCAATTCATGGCTTACAACACACATATAACCCTAAAATCATATTTTTGGAACCTCCAGATCCACATACAGTTGCAGACTGAAATTCAGCAGAGATTTGAGGCAGTTTTCCACAATTTTCTGGCAGGGAACTGAATTAAAAATGTTGGTTAAGACTTAGAATACACAGTCAATCAAAATGCAAAAATAATATGCCAAAAATACTCAGGAGGGAAGGAAGGAAGGAAATCAACCCATCCTGGTGCTGCCTACTTAGAAACATTTCGTTTCTCTTGGTACCCAAAATAAAAAATATAACTTCCAATAGTGAAACATTTTATGTTGTACCACATAAACATTGCCTGCCTCTCTTCTACAGAGGGAAGATAACAAGTTTAAAGCAAAACTTTTAAAGCTATCTCTTCAAATAGTTTCTTTGGCTTTTGTAACAATCTGAAGGAAAAATGAAACAGATAAAATCACTGTACGCAAACATCTCTACAATGGAACTTGAATTATGACAACTGAATAAAAGACTCTATCAACCACTTACTTGGTGCCTGCCTTGGGAATACTTTGATGCATTTGACATGAACACAGACCAAATATTTAAAGAAGTTATACATTCAACTGCAGCATCAATCTAATTTTCTCTCAGCTTTACAACTGTGTGGCAGATAATGCAATCCATCAAGATGAACCCTAGTTCAATCAGTGGTCTTGTGTCTCCATTATTCCAGTGAGCTGCTTGTTTCCTCTATGATGGGGTCACACAGAATGAAAAGCTACATTTTTTTCAACCAAAGCAGCCTGTTTTGCATATAATACTAAACCATATGGGTGGCTTTGCATATCCCACTAAGCTGGAAACAGAAAAACCTCAGAGTTATGGCCTAATGTTACATGTAAACTAAGCTGTATCTTTTAAAAACTGAACAGAAGCTACCCTAAACTGAATTAGATCCTTGGTTCATTTAGCTCATATACTTTATGCAGACTGGCAATGCCTCTCCAGAGTTTTAGCCATGTGTGCTCATGCACATATCAAATCACATTTTGCCCTCTGAATCTGGATCATTGCTCAGCCTTATTATGAACACAGGGATTGCTTTCATCCTAAGCTGCACACTCTAGGACGCAGGAGGTTACCTTCACTAGGTCCAATGAGATATAAATTCATTCTTAACTGAGAAAAGAAGCGAAACAGTTTTTTAAAAAAAAACTTTCAATAAAATATAATAAAATCATGTCATCATTTATTATATCATTTTAACAATGTATTAGGCAAAATATTTGGAACAGATCTATATAGGGTTTCATTCTACACGTTGAAACCATACTGCATATAAATCTGTTCCAAATATTCAGCAGAGACATCAACTTATTTGTGCAAAACCCAAAAGAGAAAATGGAAAGCATCCATTGCTTAAAAGTTGTTGGCTTTGACCTTTAAGTCTTCTTCAGCCTAAACACTACTCACAGTAGTAAAGAGCCAGCCATTAGAATAATTACTAACAATTCCTTTCCAGGGCAGTGGCCTGCCATTTGCAGCCTTAGGCACATTATGGGCTTCATAATATACAAAATGCTTTCTGCTAGACAGTGCTATCTTTATTCATACAGCCTGGCTGCTTGTGAGACACTTAATTAGGGCAACAAAGTACACTTCCAAGACAAATGAACGGAGAATTAAAAAACTGACCTTCCTTGACTAAGGCTTTGGAATTCATTATCTGCAATTATAGCCCGTTCCCAGGACCATCACAACATCCCACAGTACTACTTCTGATTTCAGCTGAGATCTGGGATAACTCTTTTGTACCTGTGTAAAATCTACTCACCAGAATTTGAGTATTATTCCCATAGCAACAAGGATGATAATGACAGAGATTGTAATGGTGACGTAGAGTTGGGGGTCCACACCTGGAACAGACAAAGGTTGCAGAATCAGAAAGAATGAGGTGTGACTCCTCACCAACTTTGTGGGGAGCGGCACTAAACCTGAAGCTCCTTTTAGGAAGGTCAGCTATTCTCTGGATTGACTCCTGTATGTCTATACACAGAGAAGCAAAAATCTAGCAGCCACAGAAGGCAGTTTTAGCAGTGACAAAAATATCCCCTGCCTAATTTCTGCTTGTTACTCAAGCTGTTAGTTACACAGTATCATTAAAGCAGTTTCTAAAGGAATAAGGGAAAGCAGCTGATTGTTACCTTCTCCCCGAGGTCCAAAGAGGAAGGGTGGCAGTGTGGCTGGAGTCTGACGCAGGTTGAGCCCTTCATTGTGTAACAGAGAGTGGGAATTGGGTTGTGCTGTTGCCATTCCATTTGATGAAACAAAGGCATAATCCAGAAGCGGGAAGCCTGGGTTCGCAGAGCTGGCATCACCTCCATCTTCAACCGATACTGTGGGACCCCAAACGATGGCCCAGGGGTACTGAGATGAGGAGGGACCATCCTCAAAGCCAGATGGGGTAGCAGGCCTGATCCCCTGGGCCTGACGCCTCAGCCGTATGGCATGGCGCTGGCTAGCCCCTTTGGAAGCCAGGGATCGCTGCCGCAGTGAGGTAGAGTGAAATCCTGTTTTCTCTGTGGGCAGGTTCTTATCCCAGATGCAAAAGGATCTGGATGTTGAGGGGCTCCGGTGGCTGCACAATGGCCGGGCTGCCAGAAGACCACGGGTCCGAAGGGACCAGGCGCCGTGCAATGGAACTGCTGAGGCTAGGAGCAGGAATGGCCAGAACTGCAGCAAATGGAAGCAGGAGACCAGAGGGAACCTCCTATGGCTGTTGAGAAGAAAGAGAAATGTCCCTTACTCATGGGACCTTTCCCCTTTCTGTGCTGCAAGATGGCTCTGTTTCAGCTAGCAGTTTTGTGCAGCTTCTGATTGCTTCATGAGATTACTAGGAGATGCCCCATGTTAATATGTGGAAAAGCAGGGGATTTGTGTTTCCATTTGGGTTTATTGCCTCAGACACGAAAATGCCTTGGGCTTGCCATGCAGGTGGAGCAGCAGAATATTTCTCAACCAGAATTAAGTGCCATTTTACCCTCATCAATTAAGACCATGCCTGGAAGGAGTTGCATGGTAATGGGGAAGAGGAATGATTTTGCAACCTTCCAGTTCAGATTCAATTATCCCTTCATCTTTTTTGTAGAGACCCTCCTTTCAATCTTTTCTATAATTTCATGTCGTTCAGCAGGTACTGTCTCCTTCCCCTTAAGAAGTCTAGTGACTGCATTGAGTCACCTGTGGCTTCCTTACATATGATTTAAGGAGCATGGCTATGTGTTCTTCCTTTCTTAATGGGCCATCACTTTGGTGAAGAAATCCTTGTATCCTGGATTATCAATATTAGGCCAGAATCTCCTGATCTAAGTGTAATGGGGAACCTGTACTTAATACATTGCAGGATGGAAGAGGCAAGGAAGGAGCCTTGCTTTGTGAAACTGCAAAGTATTCAGGCATTGGTTCCTAAGCAGCTTAATTCCTAGCAGAGTCACTCCCTCACCCATTCCTACTGACTGTAGAATAGCCACCTTACAGCACCTGATGTTACTGGGAAAGTGCTTAACCCCACTTCTTTCTGACCCTGAAGCTGTTAGAGTGGCCTCTTCAAAACAGTCTCTTAGATCAGGGTTCCTCAACCTCAGCAACTTTAAGATGGCTGGACTTCAACTCCCAGAATTCCCCAGCCAGCCATGGGGTTGAGGTTGCTGAGGTTGAGGAACCCTGTCTTAGATGCCATGGTCTGGCTCTCATTGCTATCTTACATTCTAAAATAATGCTGTGGACTTACCAGAAACTAGTTTCCATAGCTAGAGGCAACAGTTTTTCCACAGGTGTAAATGAGTCTCATATTCTTCACTAAAACCAGGAATAAGAAAAAAGGGATGAATGTTACATGTTATCTACAACATCATTTCCAAATCCTTAGGCACTCTTGTGGGTCTTCCCTCTTTTGCATCTGACTGCTGCATAAACATATCTTGGCAGCCCATGGCCACTTTAGGCTGATGAGGGCATGCCCTGCCTCTCTCCTTTAATCCCTGGGCCTTGTCTTGCTCTGAGCAGCAGAAGAGGGTGTTCTTTCAAGCTAGGCTCTCCCCAGGTATCAGCAAGCCTCCAAGGTGATCCCTGGTTTAGAGACTGAACAACAGCTGACTAGTAGTAGCGGTAGGAGGGATCTGCACGGTGAACTTGGGGAGGAGAAGAGAGAGAAAGAGATGGCTTTAACTCTGCTGGTTCATAGCACAACCCTCCTGGTGTCTGTCAGATGTTGCTTTTGAACATTGATGTAATGCACTCCTGGAATAAGAATGACCTCTTCTCTGGAAGGAGTTTGATTATCAGTTGATATCAACGTTCTTCTGGAAGAGTACTAACCTGTGTTTTTCTGAAAGAACTTTCACCTCATTTTCAGGAAGAGTGCTAAGCCCATGATATCAGCTGATAGTTGGGTTCCCTATGAACACACCCATGCAAAATACTTGAGCAAACCAGAGTGAGTATTGAGAGATGGCTAAACTTGCCAGCTTAGCCATCTGTCAAAATTTGCCTCCTGCCCAGCTCCCAGCCCAATCATGTGTGGTAAATGTTATGTGGGAGAAGAGACAAGCAATCCTGGGGGAATCCACCAGTCTCCCTCTTTATTGTTCTCTCTATGCCATAAATAAAACAAGCACCTTTCTCACCATCATGGCTAGGGCAGAGTAGGTTTGCCAGGTGAGGTAGCAAATGTTAAGCCAGTTTAGTTTTCTGTAGGCTCAAGATCTGATAGCATCTAAATTTGGCAGTGAGAAAGAACCTTATGATTACCAAGTGATGATAAACTTCTTACATTTTCCACTGGTTCTTTCAACTGTTATGAAGATACCACCTGCTATAAATATACATAGGATGTAGCCTGATATAGAGAGAAAACTTGACCCAAGTTTCCCATTTTGTGCACACATTTGCACTCAGAGAAATGAAAAAAAAATGAAGAGACAAGCATGCGAAGGCCTCACTACCACAAACATTAACGCTGCTGCTTCTGAGATTGAAAAAAAATTTTAGTGTCACTGATTTTTTTAGCACTTAAAAACTTAACAGTTCCTGCATGTATTTATAGTATGAAATGTGTAATCCACTTCATATAAAGAACCACTTTAATTGTGCATGCAGACAAGAAAAGGAATAAGAATAAATTTAGAATGATAAACACAGGAGATTGTGAAAGGGAATGAATCAGCGAGAAAAGATTCCAAGCCTGTTTAAGAATTTAGAGAGAAAAAATGTGCCCATAAAATATTTAGTATCTACTTTCTGGTTGGCTAAAATGGCTTTTCAACATTCCCCTTTTGCCCTTTTCATAGCTGCTTCTTCTCTCTTCTTCCTCCACTTTCCTTTTCCACATAAAATACCTTTGATACAAGTGGATTATATGTTCTGGCTTGTATTTTGAACTATTGTTCATGTACTGTAGACTAGTATGATACTATACAGTATTCTCAAATTCCAGAATTCCAGAATTGTTCAGATATATTTCAGCATGTGCCTTCTGGATAATCTCAGATACAGTCTATCTGTGCATAGGAAAGTACCCGATATTACAAGCTGGCAGTTCTTTTCAAAGACTAAGATACTTTTCAAAGCCTCTTCCCTCCAGGCGGCCTTCCCCCACCTGTTGCTCTTCAATGAACCTAACTTCAGCTCCTACAATCTCTAGTCAGCCCAGCTGAGAACTATGCTGCCTGGGGGATTATGGGAGTTTAAGGACAACAGATTTGGAGGGCACTAGATTGAGGAAGTCAGCGGTGTGTGCTAGACAGTTGTGTGGTTGGTCCACAAATCAATCCACACGAAAATCTGTTCCTGATTCCTGTCCTCCCATTTATGTTTCTGTAGGTGTGTATACATACACTGCATGTACTTCCTAGTTGGTGGGATGCAGCAATGCTTGTTGGATGGCAAGGTACCTTAGAGATCTTAGTTTGTGCAGAATACCATGAGCACGCGTTGAGATAAACTGAGCTTTGGCTGCTCCTGTCCCATGCTGTCCAAATATGCCCAAACTTACTAATAACAGAGAATGCTGTATGTGACATGGTATGACTGAGGCTGTAGCCCAATCTATTCATCTTACTAAAAAAGGTTATTTGAAACCCCTGATCAATCAAAACCATTTATGGGAAGTGAAAGTCAATTCCAGGGAGCCCATCTGGTGATGACTATGGCATATGGTAGATTGTGACTTATAAAGTAAGAAGAATGCATGGCAAGCAGCATTAATTTATGAATGAAAGAAAATGGATATGCTCTCTGCAAAATTAAAAGAAAAGAGCAGGATATAATAGATCTGATTGTTGTAGGTGCATATGAAAGTATGAAGTCATAGTTTGGTTATAATTGCATGTTACAGTTCAGTGACTATGATAATAGAAGAACCAGGAATGATTTTGGGGTAAAATTGTACAGCATTCTAAACGGATGGAATCCAGGGAAAAGTATTTTCTGTTACATGATACGAACAATGGACGGGAATCAGATGAGATAACAGAGACAAAATAATTGGGCCTTTTCAAGAATAAATGAGAATCGTGTTTGTTTGGTATCTGCTTAGAAAAGCATTGATTTCAAATACATGATTTAAGCAAAAGATGATTCATGCTAAAAGAGTGATTGGTTTGATTGTGTATGCTCAAAGACTAAGGACTAGTGAAGAATACACAGGTGATGAAAAGTTTCTGAGTGTGGAATAGATTTTTGTGAGTAGTATCGTGAGTTGATCTTGAGAAAAATGGATATGAAAGAAAAGGAAAGAAGCAAAAGAAATTAGAACGAAAGTGGAATGATTGCAGGAAGAGAAAGTATGAGTCTTGGGTAATATTAGAAGATAACACTAATCACTCAACAGAATAAATGAATGAATGGAATACAAAGAAAGGATGTGAAAGTTGCTGAAAATAATTATGTTACAGTGCAACACAAGTGTGTCATTTCACTAATAGGAAATTTGAAGGACTCTTGGAAAGATGAAATGAAAGAAGCTGTGAATGAGAAAAATGCGAGGATTGGTTACAAAGTTACTTTTTCATTATCATCAAAACTGAATGGTCACTATGTGAGGCAGTCACTAAATGAGGACTACCTGTATACTGTTTGTTCCCTAATATATTTATGGATAAATATATAAGGAAATGAGAACCAGTTTGGTGTAGTAGTTAAGGCACCAGGCTAGAAACTGGGAGACTGTAAGTTCTGGTCTTGCCTTAGGCATGTAGCCAGCTGGGTGACCTTGGGCCAGTCCTTTTCTCTCAGCCCTAGGAAGTAGGCAATGGCAAACCACTCCTGAAATCTTGCCAAGAAAACTGCAGGCACCTGTCCAGGCAGTTGCCAGGAGTCAAGACTGACTTGAAAGCAGTGCGTGTGTATGTAGACAGATAGATAGATAGATAGATAGATAGATAGATAGATAGATAGATAGATAGATAGATAGGAAAACGGATAAAGTTTAAGACATGCAAATGTTAATAGAAAGATTGGGGTAGTATGTGGTCTGTTGTGAATAATGAATATATCTTGAAATAGGTAAAAATAGCTCTGTGTAAGAGAGTGCTTCTGCCTATTTTGTTATATGCAAGTGAAGCCTGGATATGTCAGGAGAAAATATAAATTGCATGAAATGAGAATGGATTATTTAAGAAACATGTGTAGTAATGCCAGAATAGATAGGGTCAAGAGTGAATGGATGATGAATGAATGTGGTTTGAATACAAAAATGAGTGACCTGTAGGAAATAAATATGCTGAAGGATTTGGTCCTATTGAGAATAAATAACAATCAAATCACAAAATTAATATAAGAAGTGAATGACTTGATAGGTAGGGGAAGATTGAGAAAGGCATGCCTGCATGGAATTGATGAGATCCTCAGAAAGAGTGATAAATTTAAAGAACAAAAGGCAATCTATGAATTGGTACATCAACATGGTGGAAGCAAGGATGGTTTGCAAGATTAGAAAAGGAGTCAGAAGTAGTGAAACGTGTTGTGTAAACTAGTTTTCATTTATCTCCTGCTTCCAATTTTCTCTGCTTACTCTCACTCCTTTTCTGTGCTTTCCATAACATTGCTTGAAAGGGAATAGCATGATGGATATGTATGTATCTATTTCAGATATTTGAGAATCTGAACCCCTTGCAGAATTGCCCAGAAATCTATCAGTAGGTCCCACTCTAGTTTCATCTGCCCATCCCAATTCACAAAGAAGGAATATTAATTCTCCTTTCTCTTCCCTTCATTTATTTTCCCCAAGTGTAGAGATTCAGCATCCTTTCTATGAAGTTACTTTCCACTGATTTAACACAGGCTGCTTTTCCCAATATTAGCTAAAAGCTTAAACTATAAAGATTCCCACAAGTCCAGTTCCTGATGATTGCATGGTATGATTTAATCTACCTATTGTTCACTTTTTAATTCTCTTCTGGTTTTCCTGTTTTTGTTTTTGCTTTCTTAATTGGCAAAAATTATCTTCAGATTCCGAATACATTGAGGACAGGATATATATGGAAAGATTTTATTTTTAGTATTGGATGAACTGAAATATCAGTGCAATGTCTTGTACCTATATAATGTTGCATGGAGGGAGCCTTTGTGCATGTGAGAGAGAGGGAAAGTGCATCCAGATGCTGATAGCTCCATCATTGCTTTGGAAAAAGGAAAACATATGAAGGGACTTGTGCTTCATGCTTGAGAAGTGGCAAACTGACCTGAGGAAAGGAGTAACCTAAGAACACATGAAAGTTCCATAGGTGCCAAGCCCTTCTGCTCCTCTCGATCTCTCAGAGC